GATAGGACGTGTCTAGAAGCTCTCAGAGGTTATGTCAAGTACATTTCAGTAGAAACTGATGTGTGTGCTTCGGTGAGATGTGTATTTTGATTTTAGATTGTGATAACACTGTATGCTTAACATGATAGTTGAAAACTGCATAATAAATAAAAGTTCCATTAAGAAGGTGAAAATGTATGCTGTTAATTTGGACAGTAAACTAGAAAAACAGAAGGGTCATTTTAAGCCACCTCTTCCTCCCCCTCTAAAGGAAGCCTCAACTTCCCCATAGAATCACAGAGTGATTTGGGTTAGAAGGGACCTTAAAAACCCTCAGTCCCACCTCCTGCCATGGGCAGGGACACCTTCGATTAGACCAGGTTGCTCCAAGCCTCATCCAGCCTGGCCTTGGAATTCCTTTCAGATATCCACTCCATTATTTAAGGAAAAGTAAGGCACTGTGTGAACTACACTGCTAGATGTGCAGAGGAAGCAAAGGTAATGTTACATGTACATCCTCAGGGAATTCTGCAACTTCAATAGCTACTGTACAAATACAGTGAATTTTGTTCCTGCTTATTTCCTGTGTTTGTCTACTGGGGTATGATTAGTCAAGCCATTTCCTTTCTACTCTTTATCGGCTTTGGCAGTCTTTTTTTTTTTTTTTCCCCCCAGAAAGAATCATAATATGATTTTCTCAATTTATAAACAAAGAGTGACCCCATAAAAAGCTAACTTAATTGAAGTTATAGTGTCCTTATCAGGACGGAAATTTCAACTGGACTGTGTTAAATCTCTCCAAGCACTAATCTGACTTTTAAAGCAGATTATATCTAGTCCAGATGTTTAAAACACATCGGAAGTCCTGCAGAATACTCGGGGTTGATTGAAACAGACTGCGTGGAACATGGGTCTGATAATTGAGTGCCAGCATTGCAAAGTGCCGGCCCTGTGACGGAGGCAGAAAACTGGTTTAACTACGCAGCTGACTTCAGGTTTTCTGCCTGTGGGAGGAAGACTGAGAGGGAGCTATCCCACATGGACTGCGTTCCTCTTGTTCGGGAAGAGGAACCTGTGGAATCTTGGAGATGGATCAAAAATGGATCAATTTAGATTCTGCTTAATCTTGATCTTACATTATGCTTTCCTTTTTGCTGTTAGTTGGCAGAGCAATTTGTTCATTTTAATGGAGTTTTCACATTACAGGTATTTAATTTAAAACCCCAGCTTTTCCATATACACTTGTTTGATGGCATCTCTGAAGTACAGGTTTTGGAGTTACTCTGAAATCAAATGTGATTGCTTGTGCTGTGTAATTATGCAAACACAAAGCGTTCCTGTTTGTGCTGTTGTTTTCAGGTGGCATTGACTCTTCAAAGCCCGTGCCCTCCGTGAGCCAGAGCGTTCCGTTCACCAAGCCTGGGGCTGGAACGTCTGCTTCCCCTGCTGCGATCTCCTCCGTAAGGACACCGGCTCCAAGCCTTTCTTCACAGCCGCGATCTTCACCCGCTGTTACCCAGTCACCAGAGTCGGCCCTTCAGGAAGGTACTAAGAGGGAATGGGAAGTTACAGTAGAGATTTCTGCACTTTTCCACATGCTCACATAAATGCTGGAAGCTTTATTGCTACTCATGTGCGTTTGTCTGGAGTCATCTCTTGCATCTCATCGGGCTCTGTTACTGTCCTCGTTGTGTACCACCTTGGTTCTAGCCTTCTCTTAGCTCTTCTGTTTGGTTTCCTTGCCCAGATGTCATCTTTGGCTTGTTGGTCTTGTTGGCAGTCTTACATGTCTCCTCCCCCAAAAGCCCTTCTTTTAGTTCCCTTATTCCTCTAAAAAGCTGCTCACTAGTTTAACTTCTTGGAAGAAGGTCTTGGGCTTATTGCAAAAGCTACTTTTGATGTGGAAAAATGAGGTGAACTAGCAATTTGCTAGCGCTAGCAGTGGGAAACAGTGGGAGTTTGAGTATTACATTCCAACTGATAGGATTGTTTCCTTATTCCCTAGCTGTAAGCTCCTGTGGAAAGCTGCTGTTCTTGTGGGAGAGCAGAGGGGTTCTTGTATGAACTCCGTCCTGTTCTGGTGTTGGTAGCCTCTTGACAGAGAATTGGTTTGGTCTTGAGCCTTCTTCAGCCATGCTAATCCCGCCCTCATGTTTTGGCTTGCCTCTTGTTTCATATCTCCCTCTTTCTAGTATTCCACATCTGATTTGCTGCAGTGATTTGTTTTGTCTGTATTTTTCTTTTGGTAATTTCAGAATTTGAAGTCCTTATGGAAAAAGAACTCAGTGTGTGAGATGGAAGCAAGCATTAATTTTGTCCAGAACAGTGGGGTGTGTCTAGTTCTCAAAAGCATGGGGTGTGACTGTCATAGCATGGTTTTTATTCTTAAATCTCAAAGTCCTCTCACATAAATATCCAAATTTCCCCTTTTCCTCCATTTCCTCCTGTTTCTGGTGGAGTGGAGATGTAAAGAAATAACTATCTTACAGGCAAAAAGACAGCTCTTCATTGCTGTAAAGGCCTGTGTACAGTTCACTGCTGTAAGGAAAATGATACATCGATTTTTGGAACTGTGCTTGGTTCTTGCACAGTTTTATAGCTGATTTTGGGTAGAATTTGTGCTGTAGACACACTTGCTAGGACCAAACTGTTGCTTCATCTTCCAAAGAAATTGCCTAACAGTGTGTCTAATGAGAAAAAAGGTTTTAGCTGTTTAACCACTCTTGCCCTAACATGCAATATATATGTTTTTGCAGTGATTCCTCTATCTTATGTGAACACCTGGTACATTAAGTACAAATCACTGCGGTCGCTGCTGCACCCTCCACTGAATTCAGCTACAAAAGTGCAGGTTAATGCCGTATGTGGCTGAATGAGCACACTGTAGAACCAACGATATGCACTGTCAGGAGTCTGCATTGGTCTAGTTGTGTTTGCATTAATATAGTAATAAATCCATGGACGTGTCGTTACACGTGTTTCTGTGTTCAGATGATATTTTAATGAGCATTAGAAGACTTCAAACTCTTTTCAGTTCATTTCGAGGTGTCTGAAATAAGTAACATGCTCTTGCAATACCTCCTTATCAGCAGTAAAGTATGATAACTTTATTTGTAGAAATCAACCTACTGAAAAACTAGAATGCATCTACTAAATGCTTGTCTGGGTGGTTAGAATTCCAAGTGTGTTTCTCATGCAGGGATTAAACAGGCTGATTTTTATCTTCTTATAGTGTTGCCTACGTGAGAGCATTCAGGAAAAACAGTTTGAATTCATTTTTAAAGTGGATTTCGTTATTTTAAGTTCCTGTGTGGGCATTCCTATACAGAATTAAAATATTCTAATTGTTTAGTTGGGCAGGTTCTAACAGGACAAAAAAACTTAAAATGTATTAAATCCTGTTCAGTCTTATGTAAATATCTATACACTTTTAATGCAGATAAACCAATTTACTAGAAAATGGCATCCTAGAGATGAACGTTGAGAATGTGTGTCCTGTCTGGATGTTGTTTGTAGACTTCTTTAGGTTTTATGTTGGTGAGAGCAGCTGATGAGTAAATGAAAACAATTTAAAGCAAAGAGTTTAAGAGAGGAGGAGGGTTTGTTTTGTAAGAACAATTTCTAATATTCAGATCTTAATGCCGTAGTAAGTTTGTTGAAAATGAGGGTGTTGTGGTTTAGGCCCAGGCAGCAACTCAGCCCCACACAGCTGCTCTCCCACTCCACCCTCCCTGGGATGGGGAGGAGAAAATACAAGCGAAGGCTAGC